ACATTTCAGTCTGGAGTTTTTTTAGGACGTACAGCAGGGTTTGAAATCAATATAAAACAAAGTTCTAGATTTAATGAGTGAGATCAGGGAAAATATATGGAAAAGGTGAGCCTGGAAAACATAATTATTTAGCTTCCTGGCTCAAGGTGAATTATACGGAAACTCTCTGAAGTCAACAGCCTTCCCATGTGTCAAAGAGGGATTTAAAAGATTTTTGAGAGATTCTGAGCAGCTGAAAAAGCTTGGTGAGCTACCAGTAATATAGAAATACTTTATGCAATAAATGTATGTTAGTCATCAGTTTAGCCAGAGTCTACAAAAAGCACAGTTGAAAAACAGCAGGCCAGATTCCAACCCCAACCCCTCCTTCTGTGATTGTGTCCCTCTGGAACAGTTAAGCTGTTCACTGAAAATATCTGAATTGGTTCCTTTCCAGTGACGCAGGGGAGAGCATACGAAAGGAATATTACCTTGAGTTTGTTGATGAAAAACAGAAAGAGGAAATATATCTACTACTGTCTTTCAACAAAATGAAAAGGGTTATTTCAGTTAGCCTGTTGTTCTTCTGAGATAATTTCCCATCTGCATCAAAGAAACAACTAGAACAACTTTTATGAAAATTAAAATAGAAACTGCCCTTTAAAGGAAGTTTTTGCAAATGTTATTTCTTGTACATTTGTAAAAGGGGAATGGCATCATTTGATCATATGATTAGGTACCTGACTACCAACGGTATGTAGGAATGATACGGGAGCCTGGGCAACAAGATGCTGCCAAGAAATGGTCCAATAAGAGTTGGCATAGCCCCCAGATGGAAATCTACTCTTAGAGGTGCAGATTAATGCCGGTCTTGCAAAGCAGGCTAGTTAGGAAACAGGAAGGTTGTTTCCTATCTAGTTTTCCTTGTACCTTTTGATGTGACAAAGGGTGCAAACCAAAGTTTAATTTAATGGTTAACTTTATGGACTTTATGGGACTTTCTCTCACTCATTGATTCTACCCATTCTCTCTAGTTTAGCAAGAAGGGCATACCCCAGATCTCAGTGAGATATGGAGTGCTGGCTGCCAGGGCCAAAGTGGGCACCCTTTTGGTCATGGCAGCCTGCTTTCTGGAATATCATCCCTCCAGAGATTAGATTGGCCCCATCTTTGTTGGACTTTCATAAGGAGTTTAAGATGTGGGTCTGTACTGAAACCTGGGGCCCTGGATGTGAGATAGATCCAGTTTCTTGGTTAGGTTGAATGGTTATCATGGCTTTTATCATTTACTTTTCCAGCTGCTATGAGTTTTACATTTTTGTATATGTTTCCTTATTATTTTTTAATGTTGCCAGCTGCCAAAGTCATGTATTTGAGATGGGTGATTTGCATAAATGTAATAAATAAACAAACATTTAGATTGTCTTCATCCAGAAGCTATTCTATTATATCAAGCTTGTCTTCAGATCACAACAAGATGAGTTGCTTTCCCAGAGGATGACTGAACTTGAGTTTCTCTGTGACTGGGTACAGCAAAATTGTGATATATCCTCCTGTTTCCGCTGATCATTCTTGCAATCTGTCCTGATTTATAGTACTGCTTCCTCCTTTTCTTCTTTCCATACCCTAGCTTTCTTTGATGTTGCTCTTTTCTTTCCACTCTTCTAGTTTTCTCTTGTCTCTCCCTCCCTTTTGTTTTTCTTAACATGACCCTTCACATTCCCCAAATATGGGTTTGTCAGAGGACTCACAGAGTTTCCTCATGAAGGAAATTTAGAAAACCATCATATGTCATAAGTCTACCATGCCTAAAGTACCCAGAGCAAAATATGAGAACTGCTATTCCAAGTGAATCCTGATAACCACTGGACTTGTGGAGAGCTTGAAACAATTGCTTTTATTTGATGATCAACTGAATCGCTCCATTGAAGCAGAGTGATGAATCAAAGGACAGATGAGATTTTAAAGAACGTTGTAGATTTTTTGAACCATGACAGATTCTGTGGGGGGGAGGGTTTGTAACAGCCTCTGGCATTATTACAGGCAGTGCAATGCTTCAACTTTATTTGTCTATATGGAGAATGCTGTAAGTGGGGACTGACTCATGTGATGGGCATTCGGACGCTGACCAGCCAACCAATGTGAATTATCACTTTAATAACGTCTCTGCCTCTCACAGCTCTTGTAGATGGCAAGCTAACATTACTACGGGCTTCATTCATTTATCAGGACCTGCCTTATAACTCTTTACCCGATAAAACACCTGGGAAATTATTCTTCCATACAGATGTTGTCAGAACAATGGAATTTAATTCTCTTGAGCATAGCCAAATTTTCTTATACTGCCTGTAAATTTAGGTACATCTTAGATTGCCCACTATTGAACCTACCACCAATCTTGTCTTGTCTTGTCTAGTCTATTTTTTATTTTTAATATATTTCATTTGTAACTCTGGTCTGTGATTGTAATAAAATTCTCCCTTACCCACTCATTCCTGGAATATTATATTCCTCTGCTTGTGTTGCCAACCCAACTGGAAGATATCTCAGTTTTCAGGACTCAAAATAACTGCTCCACACCAAACACCAATGAGTCCAAAGATACATGCTTACACCAAACCTTTTAAACTCTGAATGATTGGGGCAGCTCTGATGTCTCAACAATAATTATTGTAGTTACCAGGCCAATGCTTATTACATGTACTAACTGAAACCTATGCTAAAGGAAATATCCCTTGTACAGTTTAGGTATTTTGTATGACTGTATTAGTAAATCAAATATAGAAAGTTTCTAAGAAACAGTGTTTGGTCACAGCCCTTAAAATAAAAGAACTGGAGGTAGAGGAAGAGAGAACTTGCTGCTGTCATAGTGTGATAGAAACCAAGCAAGATTTCTATGACTCCAGACAGAATCAGTGGACTTCAGAGCCAAAAAAATACTTAAAATACTTAAAATCAACTGCGTGAGAATAATACATTATTTGTTAGATGGGCAGACTTTTGCAAAGTGACAGAAAGCTTGTTATATAAGACAGATATTCCATTATTAGGATTAAGATTTTACCTATATAAATCTGTTTCAAGATTTCAAGATGCACTGATACAGTTGTTTATCCCAAAATAAGTTATGATTTGTGATAGAAAGTGGTGTTATCTCAGGTTAGCTGCTTATAAATACCTATCAAACAAGAGGCAGGAAAAAAAGCCCAAGTGGAATACAAACAGAAAATTGCTGCTGAAGCCATCTAAAGGTATCTGAAATGAACAACTCACACTTGCACACAGCCCAAATAGCACGTTAAGCATTTGTTTTATAAGCCTTGATACAGAACTACATTAATTAGTTGTAAAACTGCTGTGCCATGCTAAACATATAATCTTTTAATGATACAACCTTTTTTTTGCCTGCTCTAAGCTGTAACAGAGTTGTGTTTGATTAAAAAGAAGGCCTTGCCTTGGTGAATTATTTAGAAATAAATACTCCATATTTAAGACTCCAGAAACCCATATATCCCATGGGGAATATTTTAAAAAATTCCAAGGCCACCCATAAACTCTTAAGCTAATGGCTTAATTATGAAGGCATGTGTACAAGGATAATCCTTCAAGGACAATTTCTCACAAACCTTTAAAGTTTGGCCAACTTTTTCATGGGCCAGCCCCTTTCTCATAGCATGCTTATTTGTTATGACATTACATATCACCGTGCCTTTTTGTTTCTGCTGCCTTGATCAAGTAATTAATAAAGAGTATTTTTCAGTGATGATGTTACCTAGCCCAGTAACACAAACCAAGCTCAGAGAACATTAAGGATCTAATAATTAAACTCTAAACTGCTATATTTTCTACTATCAGCATATTTCTAGCAGGCGATAAATCTAGACCCAACTGAATACTGCAGAAGATAAGAGGGTCTTTCCCACAAAGGGTCAAATTTGCTATGCAACTTTTGTTATACTCTCAAGATATCAAACTTGCACTAATGCTACAGTACTCATTCTTCTGCCCAAATAGACCTTGGTTTACCATGATGTCCTATCCAACTTGGTATACCAGTCAAGCCAATGTGGATGAAGGTCCTTCAAAACCATCAAAGCCAACCCTCTTGATATCCCGTCATTCTCAAACACCAGAGGGAGCACTCAGAGGTGGTATTTAGCAGGTTCTGACCAGTTCTGGAGAACCAGTAGTTTGGAGAACCAGAAAATACCACCTCTAACTGGAAATTGTACAGTATCCTTCCCCTGCCACGCCCACCAAGCCACGCCCACAGAACCGGTAGTATTTTTTTTTTAATCCCACCACTGGGAGCACGCCACAAGAGCATGTCCTTAGGTACATTTGAACATCATGCCAAGCTTGATGTTCCAGAAAAGCAAGAGGAAAATAATATTTTACTGCTTACAGTTTTTGAAAGTTTTTATTTTTTAGGTTGAAGGAGAAACATTTTGCATTGATGCAGAACAATTTGGGCTCTACGCTGGACAATTTTGATGTTGCTTTGCTGTCTTTCCCTCTGACTTAAAAAAAGATTCAGGTTGAATATTTTTTTAAAATGTAATGTAATGCAGTGCTTGAAGGTATCCTGTTAAATTTGGGGGTAATTAATGTCCTCTAAATACTCTACTATTCCTATTTTTTATTGTACTCTGCCAAAAAATAAAGAAGCAGATACAGATATGTCAGATGTTTCATGGATAAAATATTTTCTGAGTTAATTTTAAATTTCTAACAGTTCGAATAATTTTGCCTCAACTCTCTTATCACACAATCATATCCAACAACTCCCTCTTTCGGTACTGAATGTCCATTTCAAACTGAAATCACCAATGCTGATTTGCACAGGCCTAATTACTATACAACAAAATTTATTTCATTTTGTATGTTTTTTTTTATATATGAATAAATGTCAAAGGATAAATCATTTAGAGGACCTATAAAAACATAAACAACGTAGGCATATGTACAGACAATATCTGGAGCACAAGAGTTTGTTTTCAAAGAAGCAAATAGATATATACCTGTTGGGAAGAAGTCGTTCATTTTCTTCTTGTAAATTTTGTAGTCAACTTCCAAAAATACACAAAAAATGACACGGTCCATCTGAAGGGGAAAAAAGAGATTATCTTAACAACGCTTTATTTTGGTCTTCAAATATCATCATCATTATCACTGTTAATAAATGAAACACTTGGTTATAACTTTTGATGGATTAGATTTGCAGATGTTCATACCATAGCAGTCCAGACGTTCCAAACCACACACAAAGATTTATTGTTTGGGTCAAAGGGATCATTTCAAGTAGCAGTATGAAATTTAGGGAGCTGTTCTTCCATTTATGCTAACTCTGCATGCAATACTGGAAACATCTGTTTCTGGAAGCGCCATGTACACTGATTAAATAAATAAGTGAAAACAAACTTGCGTTCATAAGGCCAATTCCATGTAGAGTTCCTTTTCAACAAATAGCTGGTTAGGCAATCCACCTTGAACATTTTGGCTTGAACATTAATCTACCTGCTTATCGTATTTTTAAAATGCATGGAAGGGGCCTAAAACAGCTGTCTCTCAGGGATTTGGGTTAAAGAAATGGAACCTCCATTCAAGGTCACTGAAGATGTTTCTACAGGACTGTTTACTATTCTGGAAAGACTTTTGAAAAGCTTCTATACTGTCTTTAATTATCTAAGCCTACCTGCTTTTAAACTGGGGGTGGTGAAACAAAATCAAAAAGAGCAGAGTAAGGCAGCCAGATGGCAGCCAGAATAATAATAGTTCATATAGAGGAAATTCTCAAGTAAAACCAAGCATGTAAAAAAGCACAAACTATATACAATAATTAGCTCTTAACAAGAATATTGTGCCAAGCAATTCTGTGTCAAAAACTTTTACTCAAAGGATTCACTTAAAAATAAAAGTGTATTTACATATGAAATGTTTAAATCACCAGTTACCAGAATCTTATAGTGACTTACCATAAAAGAGGTAATAAACATTAAATATTACATCAAAACCATAATAAATTAAAAAAACTGTTTTTGAATGCTTTTGATTGACTGAATGATTGATTGGACAGCCACTTGTCTGGAATTGTACAGTGTCGCTTACTTAAGCAGAAGGTTGGACTAACAGACCTCTAAGGTCCCTTCCAACTGCATATAAGGAAGTTAATTATTTCAATTTGATAGAGAGGGACAATTCTAGAGAAGGCTTGAGTCTAGGTCCACCCATCTGAAAGATGAACTTCTTCAGAGGACCTGAATGAATGAAGTTAGGAGGGAATTGTCATGAACAAATTAGCTTTTTTGAATCCCATCATAACTTTGAATGGTAGTTAAACAATTGATTGTGTGATGACCCGGGGCGTGACACAAAGGCAACACAATCAGATAATCAGTAGGAGTCCGTTTATTAGCTCCAACTTTGCCCCCAATGTCCTGGTTACCTTCTGGCTGGAGAAAAACTCTCCCAGGAACAGCCTTTGGCTGCAGAGAATCAAGTCCAAAATGTGGTAATCAAAAACTGTAACTGTAAGTCCAATCAAGGCAAGATGAAGTAATTAGTCCGGCAGGGCAGGAGAAGGAATTCCAGATGTGAAGGAATGGCAATAATTCAACATGATTGGGAGGATGCCAGAAATACAGGTAACCAAAGTCAACACAAGATAAACTCACGTTTCTTCCCAGCAGATGCTATACTCAGCATGCACCTCTTTTAAACTCTGTTCCCAGACGTGGCTCATGAGGGTAATCAGGGCCCTTTCCTCTCCCATAAGCCATGCAACCCACATTGTTCTCTTCTCTATTCCTCACTGCATGCCCTAGGATGAAGAGGGGGGTGGGCCTGGGTCTTCCACTGAACTCCCTCTCCCTTGTTCTACCTCTCCCTGCTCTGCCCAGCCAGACTTTGCCCTTGCCCAGTTTCCTCCACAACCAACAGAGCCACACTCCCATTCCCTATCAACTGTTTGTCTTCCTACTCGGATTCAGACTCCGACAGGGTCATGACAGATTATGACAGTTTTTAAGTTATGAAATTAATTGTGTAACTGAAATTACCCAAATTAGGAAGAGGTGGTTGTATAATTTACTTGCATATATGATGGCACAGAACCCGTTCATCAAATACAGAAGAAGGGCTGAAAATATGTTCATCTGAATCCTGTCAATGAGTCAGAGGAGATCTATAAGATTCATAAGGACCCAGGAATAGCAACTCAACTCTAAGTGAAAGAGAGCAAAGAATAAGGAGAGCAATCATAGATCGCAGATGGGTTGAAGAGGACTGATCAGTCATTAACTTGATATTGGATAATGGGTTATGTACGCTAACTATCAAATCAATTATGAGTTAACTGGGGTCTTTCCATCAGTCCGGAAAAGTTTTTAAAAGCCCATCAGAAGTATAAATAACATTCAGCAGGATTACACCTCCCAATGGGGATGAACCTGGGTTATTCCCTCTCAGTTCTCTGCTTGCTTTTCCTGCAAAGTTTGGTTTTATATTTGGACTGACTATATAAGATGAATTTTACAACTTTGGCAAAGTTCTCTATATAGAAAATATAAGATCCATTTCTTAATAAGGACTACCATTTTTTAATCTTGTTCTTTGTTTGCAATTTGAAATAAAACATTGAAACTTATTCTGAGATTCTGAATTTCCTTCCCTTTGAAAGAAAGCCACTTATTTTGACAAATAATACTCAAATAAATACATACAGGATGTACCAAAAGTCAATCACAATATTAATTGCAAAAGTCAATCACAACATTAATTTTAACAATTTTTTTTTATTTCTTCAGAGATAATGTTATTGCACTTAGGAATGTTCAACAGTCATGCATTGTGAGTGATGTGTTTTAGAAAATGGCTACCAATTAAAAAATGTAATAGAATTAATAGAACAAATTGTCTGTGAGGACTGACTTTTGGTAAACCCTGTAAACTATACAACAATGGTTACCCGAAAACAAGAGTCAAAGATTTGCTGATAAGTTTCACTCACTATATAAAAATAAATTGTCATATCTATGTCCAAAGCTGGCTTGTCAGTATGCTCTAGATTGACAACTGTATGCAACATCCTTTTTCCAATACAGACATACAGTGTGCATATAGAGAGAGATGAGAATGCTTTTTCACATTTATAGATTTCATCTGAAACTGATCTATCCTTATTCTTATCAATCCTGCTTCAATGAGATTCAACTGACTGCCAAAACCCCATTATCTCAAGGTGCCAAGAAACATCAACAATGTGTGTTACTGGATTTGTGATGCCCCTCTTATAGATAGTCCTTGCTTAATGACCAGTCGCTTAGCAACCATTCAAAGTTAGAGCAAACTTCTCTTGAGCTACTGACAACCTAATTTCAAAGTTCCAGTGGACACGTGCACATGCCCACACATACAGAGACACAGGATCACATTGTGGGCACTTGGCAACTGGCTCATATTCATGGTTGCTTGGGGCATCCTGCACTCACCTGACTGCAATTTTTGGCTTTTTTTGGCCAGTTTTTGGCACTTGTTTGATTTCTGGCAAAAAAAAAAAAGCCCGTTGGGAAAAATAAGTTTGCTTAAGAACTACTGCATTGGCTTAATAATGTTTACTTAGTTACTGCAAGAAGATGGTGAAATTGGGTGAGGTCACATGATTACCTGTTTAATATTCACCAAGATTTTCAACAATAATTCTGGGCTCAATGACAAGTTTAGGTCAACTGTCAACCTGTAGAGAACTCTTATGTGGACCTCACCTCATGATGCCCAGGGTGTGGATAATTGATTCACATTGTTGGAACATTCTCATTAGATGACCAGGTCACATTGGAACAAGTTAGCAAGATTCTGATTAGACAGCAATGGATTAGAATCAGAGGTTGTATTCAGCAGGTTCTGACCAGTTCTGGAGAACCGGTAGCAGAAATTTTGAGTAGTTCAGAGAACCGGCAAATACCACCTCTGACTGGTCCCACTCCCATCTATTCTCTGCCTCCCGAGTCCCAGCTGATTGGCTGGGTCTTCTTTTGTTGCCCTGCACAGGAGAACGGAGCTGGAAATCAGGTTAGTGGGTGGGGAGGGAATTGGATTTTGCAGTAACCTTCCCTCAGGAGTGGGGTGGGAATGGAGACTTTGCAGTATTCTTCCCTTGCCCTGCCCACCAAGCCATGCCCACAGAATTGGCAGTAAATTTTTTGAACCCCACCACTGGTTAGAAGGAAGTTTCTATCTCTAATCCCATCACATGCGGCCTCTTTTGCAAAGTTTCTTGGATTCTTTCCTCCATAACAATGCCAAGCTTATTTCTTTTTTCTTGCCATTCTCGTAACTCCTCCATGCTGTTACTTTGCATAATATCATAGCTGCTGTGTCTCTCCTTCTCACATACCCACGCTGATGTTATCTAGTCTTCTCAGTTGAACATGTTGTGTTTGTGTTTTTCCTCCTAGGGAAGCATTTTCTTTGCTACTAACATTTAGCTTTCCAAATGATGTTTTTAGTCATTCACTGAATTCTAATGTTTTTTCAACAAAATATGTAAAAGACTCCACACAGGAACATTCTCATTTTATAAACTGCACGTATGTGCCCATGGCCACTTATGTAGAGGTATTTGGTGAGTCAGTATCAGTTTTTTCCACAATTTTCATTTTCAGAGTTATAGGGAAACTTTGTTTTTTAGAATACAAAGTTTTTCAGCCCCATAAAACTTTTCAAAGTGGCCTTTGCATACATGTAATCTATATATGAATTAATTCCTTCCAAATGTGTGAAGAAAGCATCCTATTTTTAAGCATGCATAAGATGCTGTGATGACAGCTCGGATACTGTGTTTATCTGATTGAATGGCATGTGTTGGCAGATAATAAATTGAAATTAAGCTATATTCCTGCATCTTGCCGGTCAGGGAATGTTTTATCCAAGCGAGCCTGATAAACTAGGTTGGCCTTAATCAATGAAAAAGACTCTTGCTCTTTATCACTTCCGTTCTAAAACAAATGACCTAAGTGGTCAGAGAGGGAGAATCGCTTGGACGGTACCTTAACAGTAAGCATACAAGATTCTTGGAACTGGCTTTTGTGATATACAGTTTATTC